CGCAGTGATGCAATGGCACGGCTCTTCCCACCAGTACATCAACGGTGGGAACCTGGAGCAGCTGCTGGGCAGCCCTGCGCCCCTCCCCTGGTCTATACGTGTCAAGCTGGCCCTCAACATTGCCAGTGGCCTGCGCTACCTACACTCCAAAGGCATCTTCCACCGCGACCTCACTTCAATGGTACGGAGTGCTCCAAGGCATCCCATTGCCCTCATTGTCCCATACCCCCATTGCTGCCCCAAGCATGGTTGGCTGAGGAGCAGGAGGCTGCACTGTGCCAGGGCATCTTGGGAGCGGTGGCCAGTGGGGCAGGGCTGGTGTGGTCAGTGTGACAGGCATCCTCCTGTGCCCCCAGAACTGCCTGGTGCGCTGTGAGGCCAACAGCTACACTGCTGTGGTTTGTGACTTCGGCTTGGCGGAGAAGATCCCTACCTACAGGTGTGTGGGCAGTGTCCATCCATCTGTCCCCATCTGCCGAGTGGGGGCTGTCCGGCCCATTTGAAGCAGGAGCTGGGGGAGGGTTGGCATTTGGGGTGCAGCTAGAAGGGCAGGGATGGGGGGTCCTAGATGGTGGGGACTCATGGTGCAGATGGACACATTTGGGGCTGGCTAGGAGGAGATGGAGAAGGGGATGTTGTGGGTGAGGAGACATGAGTTTGTAAGGAGGAAGGTTAGACCAGGAAGAGAAGTGGACATGGTGATTCAGGCTGTGCCAGTGGGAGGATGGACCTGGACAGGGGACTGTAGGCAATCCATTATGTTCCACCTTGTCCCACAGTGAGCACAGCGAGAAGGAGCCTCTGGCTGTGGTGGGCTCCCCGTATTGGATGGCACCCGAGGTGCTGCGAGGGGAGTTCTACAACGAGAAGGTGAGGCTCTGTGGCTGCTGGGCGTGGGGCTTTTTCCAGGCTTACACCGCCAGCAGATTGCAGTATTTGCAGCCCTGGAGGCATTGGAGCACATAGAGGGAAGGAAGCTGGGCATCCTTCGGGTGGTGAGGTGGCAGGGCCCCAGGTCTGTCTCCGCAGGGAGGAGGGTGGGCTGTGGCTTCACAGAATGGTGAACATGTGGACTTTGGGCTGCAGGGCCCTGCCTATGACTCCTGTTCTCTGCAGGCCGATGTGTTTTCATACGGCATCATCCTCTGCGAAACCATCGCTCGCATCCCTGCTGACCCTGACTACATGCCCCGCACCGAGGTGACTCCCTGGGATGGGGACAGGAGGGAGGGTGGCAGGCAGCAGCAGTGGGGTTGGGGACGCTTCACCAAATGAAGGGGACCATCCTTCTGTGCTAGGAAGAGCCCCATGTGCTAGAGCTTCCCTGCATCTGAGGGCTGCTGTGTCCAAAATGCTGCCCAGGGAGGGATGCTCTGTCCTGATAACCTGTCCTCGGAGCCCATAGTCAGCCTGGGTGGGAGAAGGGGATGGTCGCATTCAGGAAGAGAGCAGGAGGTATCTGTGTCTCAGCATCCCCCAGCCTTCCCCCAACTTGGGGTGACCTCGTGGTCCACCCTTGCTGTGTCTGAACCAGGGTGCTGCCAGTTCCACAGCTCTGGGTGGCACACAGTGTGGGGAAGGGGATCCAGGACATCCCAGGTCCCCTGAGCCATGTCATACCTCCAGGTCACTCTTCTTCTTTTCCTGGTGCAGGATTTTGGTCTGGACACCGACACTTTCCACACCATGGTGGACATTGACTGCCCCGTGGCCTTCCTTCAGCTTGCTTTCGACTGCTGCAGTGTGAGCCTCCCACCTCATCTGGGGTGGGACGGGCAGCCCTGCCTGCACCAGCGGAGAAGCAGGAGCTGCCTGTGCTGGGCAGGGCTCCCAGGGGTGCTGAGGAGGCCGCAGACCTGATGGGGACTGTCTCCTGCCTGCAGATGGACCCCAGCTCCCGCTTTTCATTCCTGGAAATCACACAGTGCCTGGAGGGCATCCTGCAGCACCAGCTGAATGTGGAGGGAGCCGAGGCCACCCTCTGCAGCGGCGAGGAGAACCTGCCCGTGCCTGGGACAGAAGCCACACTCAGTGGTATGTGGGCACCCCGGGGACAGGCCATAGAGGGGTGCAGGGGTGTGCGTCCTACCCCCGCAGCTGTAGGGGAAGGAGACAGGGGTTGCGTGAGGTGGTTGCATGAAGTTGCAGGATGGGCCCAGTAGCGGTTCCCTTCTCAGGGTGTGCCCCTGGGTCATTGGATGCACCCCACAGTGGGTGCTGGCAGCTGCTAACCCGCTCCTGTGCCTCTGCCAGGGTTAGCCAGGACGTCTGAGCAGTCGCCCCTGCAAGAACTGGGGACGCAGCACCTGCAGCCAGACCGGCGCCTGTCCAACAGCCAGGCTGACACGTCCTTCCCAAAATCACATGCCCAACTGCAGACACCAGAGCCTTACAACAGGTTGAGGACCAGGGAGACATCCCCTCGTGTCAACCCATTCTCCCATCGCAAAGACCTGAAGGGGGGGAAGATCAAGCTCTTTGACACGCCGAGCAAGTCAGTCATCTCACTCACCTTCGACTTGCCACCCCCAACTCTGCCCCAGGTCAGCCACCCCATGACAGGCAAGTACCCCTTGGAGGCACAGCATGATTTCATGTTCCTCGGTGCCCCCCCCCGCAAGTGGTGCTCACTGCCAACCTTCCCCAGTCTGTTCTGCCAGGAGAGCTTGGCACTGGGCATGCAGTTCCCCCGTTCCACTGACGACTCTGAGCTCCCCAGCTTCACTCCTTCCTCCATCTGGAAACGAGCTGGTTCTGTGGAGGAGCAGTTGGACTGTAGCTTTTACAACACCAAGCTGCTGCAGCCCGTTTCTCATACCCCACCACCAAGCCCCAACGTCCCCTCCGGTGTCCTTTCGTGGCAGCCGGAGCAAGAATCCCCCAGTGGGCTCCTCTGTGACAGCAGCCATGAGGAGTGCAGCAAACTCATGGCTTTGAGCATGGGGGAGGAGCACGGCTTATCCGAGCTCAGCATCCCCTGCACGGCACCGCTGGAGCAGACGGAGCACACAACCTTGCTGCCCGGGCACAGCTCCGGTGCCACACTGGAGCAGGAAAAAGAGCTGTCCTGCCCCGATTGCTGCCTCAGCCCCTTTGGGCTTACCTCTCTCTGCCACCAGCCAGCACCCAGCCCACCTCAGTATCAGAACCTCCGCTGTGAGGCTGAGAGCCCCATCTGTGACTACCAGGGCCATTCTCAGCATGCCCCACAGCCAGTGCTAGCAGAGCCCAGCCTGAAGCTGCCAGAGGAACAGTCCTAGTGCTGGGGACCCTTGAGGAGCAGGGCTGTGTCAGGCCAACCCTCGGACCCCTCTACAACCACGCATTTTTGGGAGCCTGGTGCGTCCGTGCGGCCTGCTTTCACTTGATGGTGGCCGTCAGTGGCTGTGGAGACCTGTACCGTGGCCAACACAGCTCTGCTCAACCTCACGAGGACCTATACCACCAGGATCAGCCTCGGGGGGCTGCAGGGCTGTGGTTTGCAACAACACTTCTGCACTGAGCACATTAGCGGGCTCTCACAGTGGAGTGTGCAATGAGCCTGCTCCCCTGGGAGAACCAGGGGCCACACACAGACCACCGGGTGAGCAGGGCTGGGCTGAGGGGAGAGGTTTGTCTGTATGTTTCAGGGGATCTTGTGGGGTTGGTGGGTTTTCCTGTTTTTCCTGACAAGTGTGAGGACACGCCAGTCCCTGACACAGGGAGAAGGGTGCAAGAAGCCAGGAGGAAAGCGATGCCCATTGGCAGTGCACGGGGATAATTGCCAGAGCTGGGGTTGGCCATGACCACCCAACACCAAGGGCTGGGTCCTGAGCTGGCACGTCCCCCCCCAGTGCATGGGGTTGGGATCTGGGTGCCATCAAGTCACCAAGGTGAAGAGATTGTTGGGTGATATGACCAGCTGCCCAGTTTCTGGCAAAAAATGAAAGCCGTCTTTCCTCCCATCTGCACAATGCACCGGTGTCCTCATTAAAGTTATACGTCACAACAACTCCGGCTCCTGCTTCTGTCTCTTGCATGCATATCAGACGTGGAGGGGAGCCCTGCCCCAAAAGGCTGTGTGGGCTCGCCTGGGACTTCTGGGGAGCTCCTCGGGCATCACAAGCCAGCCTGGCTCAGCTCAAGGTCTTAATGCCCCCAAAGTGGCCATCTCAGCTGAAATGATTTTGCTTAGATTCCCATTTATTATTTAGGTTCTTTGGATTCATGGCTTTGAGTCCATGTTTGTGGCAGTACACATGGAAGCAAAAAGCAGATGAGCTGTGCCTCTTTATTGCTACAAAGTGGTTTCAGCCATTGGACAAGACAGAAGAGTGACATGTGCCACCTCCAAAAAGCCTGCCTTTAACACCCTTTTGCTCTTCATACAAACTCATTCACATAGCAATTAATCAACTATATATGGCAAGCATGTCCCCATAATAAACTCAGAACATTTTTGCCTGGCTGAACATGACTTCCTCTGCTCTCGCCTGGCTGCAGTGTTACATCAGGGCTATTTTGCTTAATCTTTGCACGTGTGTAGAAGCTATTTAAAGTCCCGATGACTTGTTTCGCAAAGCGCCAGTCCGCTGCAACGGACAAAGTTGCTATTGCTTTTGAAGGGCACCATCACATCATACAACCCTAAAGGTCATTGCTCTACTTCCTAATCTGCAAGAAAACCCAACCCACCAGCTGGCTCAGGCGCAGCTTCCCTCCTCGGCCACTGAGGCTTTCCTAAGCCATGAAAGCTGTGCCCAAGCTGATCCTGGGATGGGGCCAGGTGGAAAGTCCCTGCTGGGGGAGGTGGGGGAGAACTTGGCCGGGTGTGGGGCTCTCCCAAGCTCCCATGTCTTTGCTTGCCAGCACCACAGCTCGCTCCGTGCTGGGGATGTTGCGTGGCTGCAGTGCTGAGCACTAGGGCTTGCTCTGCTCTGTGGCCAGCTCCTGGCTCCCCATCACACACCGTCCCCATGCTCAGGAAAACCCAGCGTACACCATCCCTGTGCAGCTGTGGGGCCCGTGCTGCTCTGCAGAAGCACATCAGCTGGAAGGAAATGGCCACCACCACTGCCTCCCCCAGCCTGTGTGCTGCTAGAGCATCACCGGGCATTGCTGGGAAGGACCTGAGCAGCCCGTGGGCTGGATTCTGTGGGAAGGAAGGGGGTTTCTTGCATGGATGGGACATCCAGGAAGGGGTGCAGCAAGGCTGAAGCGCAGGCGGTGCAGGGTGCAGGTGCTGCAAGGGAAGGCAGAGGGTGAGGGTGAGGTGCTGCCCAGCCTCCACCACACACAAAACAGGGCTGGAAAGGTAGCTTCCAAAGGGCTTTCCCCCATCTTGCCCCTTTGCTGTACCACAGCTTGGGGGGATCTCTTGAGCTACTGCAGACCAGGGGCTTCCACGGCAGTGAAGGGTCGGAGGCAGGCTACATCCAACACAGGGAGGTGTCTGCATCCCTCGCCCTTTCCAAGCGAGGGTGTCAATGTGCCCTGTGCAGAGGCCCAGGCTCCCCACCTCCCACCATCCACACTCCACAGGCCCCACGTACCCCGGGCTCGGCAGACCCTGGCATGGGCACTCACCACAGGGGTGCTGTGGCCAGCAGCCAAGCTCGGCCCCGCCGTCTTCTCACAGATCCAGAGGTGCAGGTCATCGGGCCCGGAGCACTGGGCAGGTTTGATGCTTCCGCGGCTTATTATGGCACAGGACCCGTTCGACTTCAGCTGCCATGGCCTGGATGGGGAAAAAAAAAATGTCAGGAAGCTGCCACCACTCTATCCACCATCCTCTGCCAAGGCAGCTGTGGCTGCTGACAGCTGCGTCTTGTACACTTGCACAGGAGGGGTTGAATGCTGTAGTCAAAGCGGGGATCCCCCAGTCCTCCCCTACTGATTTCACAGGCTGAAGCCTGAGCTGATGCATCTCTGCCCTTAGAGTCATAATCATAGAATGGTATGGGTTGGAAGAGACCTTTAAACACCATCTAGTCCAACCCCTGTGCAGTGAGCAGGGACATGTTAACTAGAGCAAGTTGCTCAGAGCTGTGTCCAGCCTGACCTGGAATGGTTCCAGAGATGTGGCTTCCTTGGGCAGGATGAGAAACCCCTCTACAAAAGGATTGCATTGCTTGCACCTCCCCTTAGCCTTCCTATCGCTTCAATGTCAGCCTCACAGCTGGGGGATATTTTGTCCCTGTAGCACCCAGCAGTGGGGAGAGCCTAGTCCTCCTCGAGGGCACATGGATGGATGGAGGAGCTGCCTTGGGCAATGAGTCTGCAGTGGGGGCCAACCCCCATGGCAGGGCTGAGAATGGAAGGGGAGGGAGGGGGCGCGGGCCGGGGGACCCGAGCAGCGCCTTGCCAGACGAGTCTGTTCCTCCCCACTGCTCTCAGACACTGCAAGAGGAAGCGGCGGCGAGCTGGGGAGGGGGTGCACATTGCAGGGAGGAGCCCAGGACCCTCTGCGGCTGCAAAACCTTGATTTCCCCTCGAGAAGGAACCAGGGAGGCTCATGGGGGATAGAGATGGTGCTCACATGCTTTGTCTAGACCCCAAATGAAAATTGCAGTTTCTTTTGTCCCCTCTTGCTGTCTCCTGCTTGTGCACACCGTGCACAAGCCCCACTCCTGGTCTTGGCTTCTGATTTTCACAACCACTCAGCATCCCATCACACCACTTCATCCACCTTCTGTGGCCTCAGCTGCTTTGACGCTCTTTGTTGCCCAGTACTTGTGCTTGGGACTGGGTACCAGTGGGATTTAAAACACTTCTAAAGCCATGCCAGAGGAGACAGGAATTTGGCAAGAGGCTGTGCTGCTGGGTACCTTTCATAAAGGGAGCCATCCACCCAGAACCAGGCATCTGAGACCTCCTCGCCTTCTGGGTCACCTTCATCCAGCCAGCCGTATTCATACCAGGGGAAGCTGCTCTTCTGCAGCCCAATCCAGTATGTGACATCCGCATTCTTCAGGAAGGTCTGGGGAAGGAGATAAAGGGTCCTTTAGGGGCTTTCCCATGGCATTTACATGCTGCAGTGTTTTCAGGGGATGGTCATCTCCTCAAGGAGCCCCTGAGGCTGGAGCTCCTTAGGGCAGGACCTCTGTGTAGCTAAGCTGCACTGCTTCAGCTTGGGCAGCATCCAGGGGTGCCAGAGCCTGTCTGCCCCAGGTTCACCACCAGCCACGTGCTCCAGAGATCAACCTTGTATGCCCCAATGTTTCAGCAGGGCAGGGGTACCCGGAGTGGTGCTGGCCCATTGGATGCATGAACCAGCTCCTGCCCTCAGCTCCTCCAGCACCCTACCGGCACGGTCCAGCGACTCCAGGATTTGGTGACCAGGAGCTGAGAATATTTCTTCTCACAGTCAGTTCTACTCTCCTCCCATGTCTTCTTCTCCGATGAGATGAAGAGGCACTTGCCCCTGTACAGCAGCCAGCCCGAAGGGCAGCAATCTGTGGGCAGAGACACAGCTCAGGTGCTTGCTCAGCCACAGATGCCTTTGTAGTGGACTGGGAACAACCCCACAAGGTATCACAGGCTCAGCCTCTGCTCCAGGTATAGCTTCAGCCTTTGGACCACCATGTTGCCATCACATCGCCCAAAAACCATTGCACCTGCTGAGGGGTGCTACTCCCCTGGGGCATTACCTCCCTGCTCCACCACTGCCCTACCTATAGCCGTGCAGGAGCGCAGGATGGCCACAGTGCTCTCGCTGTTATTGAGCTTCCCCTGCACCTCCTGCATCTCCTTCTCCATCTTCCCAAGGACGCCCGTGATGCGTCTCAGCTCAGCGTCCTGGGTCTCCAGCTGCAGCCGGCTGCTGTTGCCCTCCCGCCACGCTCGCTGCAGGTCTGCTCTGGCCAGCTCCAGCTCCAGACGTGTCTGCTCCAGGCTCTGCTCCCGCACGCTCAGCTCCTGCGAGAGGCGGCCCTGCTCGGCCGCGTGCTCACGGGAGGTGTCCTG